AAACTGATAAACAAAAAGCATTTGAGCATTATGAGAGATCTGCTAAGGCAGGCAACTCGAAAGGATTCTCTAGAATACTCGAATTATCTGACGAAATGGGACGTGATGATGGAATGCTTCAAGTTGGCTATTGTTACCTTCACGGAATTGGAGTTAAAAAAGATGACCACAAGGCATTCATTTGGTATAAAAAATCAGCGAAGAAGGGAAATTCTAAGGGAATATTCATGCTTGGATATTGTTATGATTTAGGAATTGGGATTGAAATTGATGAGCGCAAAGCATTTAAATACTATCAGAGATCAGCAAAGGCTGATAATTCAAAAGAAAAAGTAAAAAAAGTAAAAAAAGTAGAAAAAATAAAAAAAAGTAAGTTATGCTAAAGTTATTTCTAAAATAACTCAAAAACTAAAGATCTTATATATAAAAATTATAACTTATTAGAAAGGTTTAATTAAGCTGAATCTAATAGTAAACTTAAATCTATTTTTAGCTAATAAATTATTAAAAAAATAATAATAAATAATTCTAAATATATATAATAAAATAATCAGTAAAAAAATATACTAAAATTTAGAGTTTGGTAATTTTAGTGTAGTAGTTAGGTTGCCAGACCACTATATAAGAGGTCTGAGATTCAAATCCTACTATTAACAAATTTGAATAATTATCTAAATCTTTGTATCTAACTTATAGTAAACTCTATCTGTTTTTGGAAGTTACAACTCTGTAAATTATATTACACTAATGTTAATCAGATATTAGAAGTGTGATGCAATATTTGAGTTATATTGCATAAATAAATCTTAATAGAATCTACAAGCAGAGGATCTACATAGTAGAAATCTCAAGTTTGATGAAGTAGTATAGATTTTAATAGTTAAGCTAGTTAATGTTTAATCTAGTGAAAAATCTGAATATAAAGAATAAAGAACAAGTAAGTGTAAATAAGACTATTGTGAATTTGTAGACTAGTGCTAACTACAAATAGCAACACTAACTTGGTTTAGCAACTAACTAGATTAGAAAGATCTACTTCATAAAACATCTAACTAGAACTTGAAGGACTATATCTAGTAGAGAGTTACAGCAAGAACTGAGTTCATATGAATATTAACAAGGGTTTAATTCAGATAAATCTATGAAATAGGCATATGACTACTCTGATAAGAATTACTTCTGAGGTTAACTAGAGCTCTGAATATTTATAATATATTAAGCAATATGCATTCTGTGAGAATCTAAGCTATGTGATAAATGAATTCACATATAAGTTAGCTAGCTTAAGCAGTTAAATATAGTAGTAATATTAGTTTAGAATAGAAGAAAAAGTTAATAATTAAAGTGTTTAAATAGGTAACTCACAGATGAGTTGCAGGTATAATAACATAGTATAGAACCAACAGATATTCAATCATTTATATAACAGACTATTTAAATTAGATAATGACTAAAGTTGTATATATAGCTTGTTATATACTCATTATGTAACTGTAAAACCTTAGAAGACTACTTGTATGGTAGTTCTGTAATAACAAACCAATAAAATCTAATCAGCTAAGGAAGTGCTTTAACAATAAAAAAAAAAAAAAATATGCTAAAATCTATTTTGTAATAATATAATTTAAACTTTTTCAACTTTTAAAAAATTTTTAATAAATTAAATACTACAAATACTTAACAAAAGTAAACACTAAACTAGCTTTATATTACAACCATTTATAAAATATAATGTTACTATATTTTACTAAAATATAAAAATAATATATTATTTATTATAACATTTTTAATAATTGTTAAAAACTGAATCTCAAAAGAAATTTAAACTTTGTATAAAACTTACAAAACAAATGAATCTATAGAAAAAAAAAATCTTATGTAAATACTTAAAATATTCAATATAATTTATTAATTAATTATAAATAAAAAGCACCAACTATGCTTCTAACTTTATAAAGCTAGAGTTTAATAAAAAAAAAAAAAAAAGTACAAGTTATTGTATTATGCTAACTTATTTATAAAATTATTCATATTAAATTTATCAAGTTAATACTTATATTTTAAAAATAATAAAAAAAAAATTTTATTAAAGTTGTAGTTTTAAAATAGTATTGCTTTGTAATATATTAGTTGAAAAACATTTTGTATTAAATTAATTTGCTAAACTTAAAAAACTAGTTGTAGCATAATATAAATAAAGCCTTTTTTATATATAAATATATTAGATTTTTTTATTCTAACTATATATTTTTTAACTTGTAAAAAATGCAGAGATATTAGCTAGAGCTACTATTGCTATTTCTGTTAGTAATTGATTTTTAAGAATATCTAATACATATGCATCATTATTTGGTACTTCTAATAAAAGTGAGTTGACTAGTTTTATAAGTTTTTGAAATACGTATCACTTATTATGTAACATCAAATAGTAAGGTTATTAAGTATAACCCGTAGTTCAAACTAATAAAATCTCGTTAGCAAAGAATACCACCTTAGAAAAAAATAAAATAAAATAAAATAAAACGAAATTTAATAACAGATAATATATATTAAAAAAAAAAAAAATACTATTTACATATCTTTTTATACTATTCATATGTAAAAATTATTTTAGCTACTATATTAATATTGTATTATTATTAAATTACATTTATGAAATTATTAGCATATCATTTAGGAAAATTAATAAAAAACGCAAGTAAAAAAAAAAGACTTAAAACAAAGTAAATAAATAAAAATTAATTAGTTGTATAATAATTCCAAGTCTCACATCATTAATCGTGCTTTCCATAATTTTTCTACTCTTGATACCTATTAGTTTAATAAAATAATTAATTTCAAGAAAGATAAAAAATAAATAATATGATAAAGTAATATTATATAGATACAAATTGAGGGTACTCAGGATCTTTTAGAATATTCATAATCCATGCTTGAAGCTCATCATCATCATTAGGAAATGAAAGAGAATCGCTATGTTATTTAACAAGGTTCATATGTTCTTTAACAGGGTCCATACTATTAACAGCCTTTTGAGATGAATTAAAATCATTTGATTCATTTGACGATGATGGTTGATTTAATGTATGAAATTCTAAATTATTTGTTGTTTGGATTGGGGAAGTTTGTCGTTGATCTATTCTTTGCGGTAATGGAGAAATCTGGGGATTATATAAGCTCTGATTCGTTGATTCTAAAATGTTAGTAACAGATTTTTGAGTTATTGGAGTTTGAAATGAAATATCTGTGCATGATCTTTGAAGTGGTTTTGAACTAATATCCGTTGTAGCAGCAAATGAAGAAGTTGAAGATGAGGTAGAAGGTCGTGAAGGTGAGTCAAGAACAATATACTCTTTTTGACATGATTCTTGACGTGTCGTCAGTGCCACAGATTGCTCTTTTTGTGGCTTTGTAATTTGTTGCTGCATTACACTTAATGGTGGTTGAATTTTGTTTAAGACTTGGGCATGATTGGATAATCCTAAGTCACTGGTAGACGATGATACGTTTGAACCATTCCCAAGAATAGGTTTACAACTAATATATCTCCCAATAATTCCAGCGCAAGCTTCAAAATCTTCGATAGTTTTAAATCTTAATTGGAATTTACGAACTTCCTGAGCGGTAGTCTATCACATAATATTAATTTTTGCCGACCAGTTAAAAAGAAAACAAATAATAAATAAAGTAAAATACCACTCCATTTCTATCTACTATTGAGTAATTGTATCTTATACCAATAGTAGGACTTCTCAATAAAGCTTTTGCTTTTAAAATATTTGCGTGTCGATAGGAAACATTCAAGCATTCCTGTTATTATATTTTATTTCAAGATTTCAATACAATAAATATAACAATAAAACATCTTATTTTTATTTAAAAAAAAAAATTATTTTTTATAGTACCAATAAAGTATTTTGATCAGCAATAACTTTTAATATAGGTTCACCGACACCCGCAACAATGATACCTGCGGGAAACATATTTTCGAGATAAACGAAAACATTTGGTCGTGATATATGAGTCCATTGATTCGAAGTTGAAGAAGTAGAAGGATAAGATCTTGAATATTTTTCAAGTTCATAACGAAATGGATCATGTATATTAGACATTAATGGTCAATGATCAATTGAATATTATTTTTCATTGTTCGATCGCTTTCGTTTTATGCAAAAGTTTAAATATTGAATGATAAATATGACGTAAAGTAGATCAAAAATACATAACTGATAAGTTTAATTACTTGTAAAGACAAATTTTCGATGTTTTTTTTTATTTTTAAATATTATTTCACTGTACAATATGTATTTATAATTATCAATACTAAAATTGATTTCAAAAAAAATATGTTTGAAAAGACTTCGATTTATTTATTGATGAAGAGAATATGAAAAAATAAAAAAATGACATGAAAAATGAAAATGAAAGTGATATGAAAATGAAAAATGAAATGAAAAAAAATAAAAAAAAAATGAAAAATAAAAATGTTAATACCAGTTTTGTGAGCCTATAGACAGGAACAGGAACAGTACAGTACAGTATTCAAGGGGGGATTAAAAAAGGGCAAAGAGCAAAGGGTGTTTTTTTTGGTGGGCAATAGGAGGGGCTACATATTCACAAAGGACTAAAAAGAACCGATAAATGCAAAAAGATGATGGCTATATACATTTTTTTTTGATTTTTTTTTTTTTTGCTTTTTTTTTTTTTTTTTTTTTATGTTTTTAAAAAATAGTGAATTCTATGCAATGAAAAAATGGGCAAATTTTTTAAATTATTTACATTTTTTTTTTTTTTTTAAAAAAGACTCTTCGAATTTAAAGTGGTAACGACTAATTTACGATTGACGACTAATTTACGATTGACTTCGAATTATTACGAAAATTTTCAAAATTTAAGTGACGATTAATTTATGTTCGGATTTCGAATTATCCTGATAATTTCATACATTGTTTTTCACGTTATTGGCGATGAGGAGTACGTTTATCTAATAATTTAATTAGAAATTAGAATAATAAGATCAAATTATGATTAATGTTTAATAAAAAATTTGCATACGTTGGACAGGAGCAGCAAAACGTTTATCTAAAAATTGTGGATGTTTCATTGTTAAAAAAAAAAAGACAACAAAATAATTTCATACGATGGAAAATCACATACGATTATGTGCGATGGGCTTGGCACTTCGTTTGTAATACGACGACTTCTTGGAATCATAATAATAATCATCATCATCACCGTAATAATATTCATCACCGTAATATTCATCATATTCATCATAATCATCATCACCGTAATAAGAGTCATAATAATAATCATCATAATCATCATCACCGTAATAAGATTCATAGTCTTCGTCGCCACCTGGAAATTATAAACGAATTCAATTATTGAACTGTAAATCTCAACGAGGAAAGAAATTACATACGTTTAGATAGAGGACGGCGTTTCTCTAAAAAAAAAAGAAACGGTTTAATAATTTAATTTTGAATGAAAATCTTTAATTAGGAATTTTCGTACCTTGTTTCGCTACACGTTTGCCTAATAAATTATGAAAATAATTATTTAGAAGGTCAAATCGAATTTAATCTTAAGGATTAAAAGATTACATACTGTGTTCGGGTTTAGCCTCTCGTTTTTCTTGAGAAATGGTGAGATAAGAATTAATAAAATTCGAATACAGTCTTTAAGAGAATAAGAAAATTGCATACCTTCTGGTACCGCAACACGCTTCTCTTCTAATAAGAAAGAACAATTAGATTAAAGTTATTAATTTAAAATAACAATGTTAAAAAATTTAAATTTATGAACCATCTGGAACGGGGTTAGCAATGGCTGCTGCTACACAGAAGAGGAGGGTTACTAAGGCAATGCTGAACTTCATGACTATTATTTTTTTAATGATGTTATTATGTGTATATTAGTTTATTTTTACTTTATTTTAATATTTCTATGATTTTATTTACTTCAGAAAACTGAGGTACTTGGAAGTGAGATCGAAGGGGTTTATATACTTTGTTCGTGATTATAAATTTGATATAACTCTCAAAGTCTTCGATATATCTATTCAGATAACAATTTCTAAAGCTTTTCGAATATACTATATGATCACAGCCTCAGATCTTTTGCTTTTTTCACCAGATAATAATTTGTACTTGTTTCATTGTCAAGAATAAAAAAACTCTGTTACAATCGTGGGTCCTTCATTAAAGAATCAAGAAAATTAATTATAAAAACTTGACAATGATTCAATATTTCTATAAAAATTGTCTTCCGAACTGGCTTAGCAGATCTAAAAATTGATCTGGAGAATCGTAGCGTATTACGAGATCCACATGTTCCTTAAATAGATATATGATATTAATGCACGGTTTAGTATACTTTTTTTTAAAAGCCCACTTATATAATTCAATATGCTAAAAGAAGGAAATTCATTAAGACAATATTTCAGATTTTGTTTATTCTTTTAAGATCTGTGGCTTAATTTACATAGAGATAGCTACGGATAGTCGAATTAGGAAACCCCATATTAATGCACTATATGCTATGTATCCACCGGTAGATATGATATGTTTATATGCTATAGATACTATACCACATATTCATACTGTATTTCATTAACGATGTATTTCTGTAAAATATTCACATTTAAAATGTTTTAGTGACTTATAATTCAGTAAAGTATAATTTTAATTTTCGAATTTTAATCAATTTTTTACCTTTAAGCCACGTCAAATGATAAGCCTCGTGTGATAGTATCTATGAATTATAATTGATTTCTAAACCGGACATGTGTGTAAAATTCCTTTGCCCAAAGTCAATGGACAAACAAGTATAATTTCTTTATGATCAAAAAATTATTGGTCAATATTATCGTTACGTACTATCAAATTAGATTTATTGGATTAATTTGGCATAAATATTATGAGCTAAGCCATGATCTATTGTTTTATATGAATTTTCCTAATTTAATTAGTACAATCTCTCAATCCATGGTAAGTCAAAGCCATCTCTGAATTATCGTTTCTTTACAAGTAATTCAAATCGTTTCAGTATGATCAGGTGAAATATTCTGTGAATTTTCTACAAAGAATTTCTTGTTTTATGTTTATACTATCTACATACTTCTCACTGTCGATTCAAATGTGATATTTTAATAACATTTATTACTCTTCATGAATTTAATTCCTTTAAATTATTCTTTACTTTCGATGAATAAATTTATTTTTCTAATTTAATTATTATACCCTTCTTTCCTTGCATAAACTTGTTATCAATAATTAAAATTTACCATTGCATAATTTCTACATCATCGCATTTTCCAATAAGCCACTTTAATAATTAAATATATGTCCATGTGTCTTATGATAAAAAATCAGCTCAATTTTTTCTTTGCTTAAGCCCCCATCGATAAGATTAAACTTTAATTACGTAGATAATTAAAATTATTCATGCCTTTCTTTTTTTGGGTTCCTGATAGTCATAATCTGATTTACAAAATCCCGTTAATTGCAATTATATTGTGTGTATGAAATTTACTTTCTTATCATTACTGTATGTTACATATTCCTATCCCGTGAAATTAAGTACTATTGCACAAGAATTCGTAATAAGTGAGAGTTGTAAACAGATCGAACCGACTAATTGGTCGACAATAGTATTTAATTTCACGGGATAGGAATATACATACAGTAATGTAGTGTTTGTACGTAGTCGACCAAAATTTATCGACTCAACTAAGATAATATTTAAAAATCGATTTCCTATATAAAAATTTAATATCCCGAATTTTCCCTCCACCCACACCTACCTTAAATTTGAATACCTAGCTCTCAGAAATCATCCGATCATTTCTTAATACACATATCGAGAACTTATATAATAAAACTTGTAAACTTCCTTTAAAAACTCCTAAATCATATAAGCTATTTACTGATCAATAATTATTTGATCTCTCACATGACTTTTATCAGGAGTAAATTTGCAACTCAGTTAGTACATAGCGATAGCGATAGGCTTTTTTTTTTAAGGGTAAAGTACATGTAGATCATTTTTTTATATGAAATCGATTTTAAGTTTTGCACAATTTTAGGTGTGATGAATCATTTGCGTGACGAATAATGATTCAATAATAAAATTAATAAGTAAATCTTGTCACATATAATGATTCATGTGGTAAATGGCAATTATTTCGTTATTGATTGTGTTTAAATTAATTTTAAATTGATTGTAATTATACTGTTCTTCACTATATCAGAAACATGTTAAAATTAATAAAATTAAATTTTTTATCGAGTGTACTGTATTCATTAAAAAAAAATCAATATTTTAAAAAGGATCATTTCGTAGAGGTCTTAAGCTTTTTTTTTTTTGCAAGTCATTTATGCGAAATTATGTGATAAATTTTTTAGGAATATGCTAATCAGAAATAATATAAATTGTCACGGCTGATGCTGAATTTTGGGGTCGCAATTTGGATCTATTAAACCTGCTAAAATCCACATATACTCTTTTATTAATAACACTAACCCTAAACCCTAACCTAACTCTAAAAAAAAAAATCCTACACAAAAGGCTCTAAAAATTTTTAAAATTTTATAATAAAATAGGTTCAAAATTTAGCATTAGCCAAATTCGGTATCAGCCGTGACATAAATTACTTCTATTACTATGATTATAGTGACGCGTATAATAAATTTTAATTTACTATAATTATAAATCAAATAAAATAACTTACTCAATTTTATATATAAATTTTGGCAAAAAAAAAACATTTTCTTTAATTTACTCAAGAAAGTAAATATAAAAATTAATTTTAGATATGAGATTTATATTCTTTAGCATTTTTTAAATTCTTTTGCAAAATTACAAGTTTAAATTCAAAATAGTTAAAAGAAGATCTTGAGTTAAAGTTTTTCGAATTTTTTATTTACTATATGTTTTTTAGATCAAATAAATAACTTTAATTAATAATATGATTAGTTAAAATAATTATTTAAAAATTAAAAAAAGTTTTATTAATCTTTGATCTAGTTAGACAAAATTGTTCTAGCTATATAGCTAGTATAACAGGTCATACCTGAGTACTTTAGTAGTAGCTAGGTAATATCAAGCT